ATTTGCCAGAATAGAAAATTAACCTATCATTTTCCGTCATCGTATTTTATTTATGTATATGAGTCTTTTTATTTTACTTTTCACGGAAACATTTTAAAAATTGTCGCTATATTGAGAAGAAAGAATAAAGCAAGAAAGGTACCCGCCGGTTTTTAGTGGAAATTCGCCTAACTCAAAATGATATTAAAAGTATTTACTTTTTGTTTCGTTTTTTCCTTTTAAGACGAGGAATATGGTAAGTGCTAATGAAAATTAGTACTAAACGGAAGTTCGTATCATTCTGAAGGTGACAGTAATTAATGGTTTGAACCCGACAGAGCAATATTCACATCAATTCCTCATTTAGAATCTGTGAGCATTACCAAAATTTATCAAACCACAGTACATTGTCACTCAATTGTGCCTTAAAAATTATATTAAATTTTTTGATTGGATCCGTCTAAATAGGTGTTTGAGAAAGTACACGATCATTTTTATATGAAACTTTATATTTGGTACCGTTTGGATATGTGTAAACTCCACAGCCGTGTATTCTACCATCTTTATATTCGCCATCGTATCTTTCGCCATTTTTATATCTATAAGCTCCATGTCCATATTTTTTGTCATCTTTGTATGCACCATCATACCTGTCATCATTTGGAAATGTATAAACCCCATGCCCATGTTTTTTGTCGTCTTTGTATTCACCATCGTATTGGGCACCACTAGCGTATGTGTGAACTCCAAGACCGTGCATTTTGTCATCGATAAATTCATCCTCATAATGATCTCCTTAACATTCAGTATCCTTGCCCCAAATAAACTCACCGCAGTCTGCGAAAACGTCTTTTTTCCATTCTCCTTCATATGTTAATCCACATGGATACACGCATACGCCATTATCATTCTGTGATGGAACATTCTGTGATGGAAATTTAGACATGGCGCTGTCAAATAATTTAAGTATGGGAACCACAGTTTCAGTGCTGATCGATCCTCATCTCGTAGTGCTTTATTCAGCACTCGATAAAAGCTTTGATCGCCCGATTCTATCGAATACAGGTAAATAGCAACTGATTCGTCTTTCGTTAATTGATTTGACAGATGACAATGTTTTTTGGCAAATTTAATGTAACGATGTAAATTCGGAATCAACGCAGTGATCTCGTCTACAGCTGCTTCTATCGACATCAATGGTGAACTCAGATACCCAAATATTGAAGGTAGTATCTTGTTCACCAGATCAGTATCACAATGGCGGACACTCATTCCTTGAAACAGAAAAAGAACGACGTATGTCAGTTAGTTTTCTAAGCATACTTATTTAAATTTGAAGGAATAACATTATAAGTTGTGAAATGAAAGTTTATTAAATTCACACCTATGCTTTTTTTCGTTACAATGAGACAGAAGAAATAATCATCTTCGTAGTTTTGGGATAATTAACTAAACTTCTCAATTATTATTATTCACGCAGACTTAAACGACTTTCTTAGAAAGATTTCTCATTCAATTCTCTACAAAAATATATCGCTGGAATTCTTACGAACCGTCAATGGTAAAATATTCCACCAACAAATACTACGAGGCGCCCGTAAAGCAATTTCCTAAAGTTATTTTAGAAAGTTTGAATTTTTTCCCCTTTGTTCGAATCGTGAAATGCATCCAAGGAAGATTTCGTGTAATTTTGACCGTGCTCTTCCTAATCGTATGTAATAAAAAAAAATTTTCCTTGTGC